AAAAAAAAAAAAAAAACCCAGCAAATCCAAGAAGACAAAGAACTACACCCACAAAAAAAAAAAAACCAAAAAAGTCGTTTTTTAAAATTTACTTATCGATTTTATTCTTCGTCATTTTGTTTTTTTATGTATTTTTTACCGAAAAATATCGTTTTTCGAAAAAAAAAAGAAAGGGGTTGTAGAGTTTGGAAAACCCCACAACCTTTTTTTTTTTTTTTCATTTTTTAACCGGAGAATCCAGCTGTCTAGCTCAGTTGGTTAGGCACGCAAGGGGTTCGAGCTGCATGACCACCTGTGGCGCACTTTGTGGGTTGGAGCGGCAAGACCACCTCTGGTGCACTTAGTGCCAACAAGCTGTCATACCCCGTTTTATTCTTTGATCGGTGGGATCTTCGGCAAAATGGCTGTGAGTGTGAGTGTAAGTGTGAGTATGAGGGGGAAAGGTGTTGGCCTTAGAGACTGCTGATATTGGATGGGGGTTGGGGGAGACAAAAAAGGCAGATAACCAATGTTTTGATTTCGTTAAAAAAATTAAAAATGTTTGTCTTGACTAAATCGTAGGTCTTGGACTTGTGCTCCTCGTTGGATTTGTGTTCCTGCTTGGACTTGTGCTCCTCTGCTTTCTGCTCCTTGTGCTCCTCCTCGAACGTCTGCTCCTCCTTGGATTTGTGCTCCTCCTTGGATTTGTGCTCCTCCTTGGATTTGTGCTCCTCCTTGGGCTTGTGCTCCTCCATAGACTTGTGCTCCTTGTGCTCCTCCTTGGCTCTGTGCTCCTCCTTGGCTCTGTGTTCCTCCTTGGATGTGTGCTCCTCCTTGGATGTGTGCTCCTCCTTGGACTTGTGCTCCTCCTTGGACTTGTGCTCCTCCTGCTCCTTGGATCTGTATTCCCTGTGCTTCTCCTCCTTAGACTTATGCTCCTTGTTCTCCTCCCCGAATTTGCATTCCTCCTTGGCTCTGTGTTCCTCCTTGGATTTGTGCTCCTCCTTGGACTTGTGCTCCTTGTGCCCCTTCTGCTCCTTGGACTTGTGCTCCTCATGCTCCTTGGATCTGTATTCCTTGTTCTCCTCCGTGGACTTGTGCTCCTTGTGCTCCTCCTTGGACTTGCATTCCTTGTGCTCCTCCTTGGACTTGTGTTCCTCCTTGTATTTGTATTCCTCCTTGCATTTGTGCTCCTTACACTCCTTACATTCACTGTCGCTTCCACTTCCCTTCTTGTGGGACTCCTTCCACGATTCCTTCCCCTCATCTTGCCTGTCCACCTCCTCTCACGTCTCCCTATGCTTTTTCTGAATCTCAGCAGGGTGTCTATCGACTTCCTCCCTCTTCTGTTTGTGGCCAATTCTCTTCTCTTCCATTCTCATCGTCTTGCTCGTCTCCTTACTTTCGCCACCGTCGTCGCCCTTGGAGTGTTCTTCCCATTTCACTCTCCTTTTGATAACCCGAGACTTGTAGTCACTTGCATCCTCAGAGCCCCACCCGCTACGCTTCTGGCGACGCCTGATGGTTGTCCTCCGCACACACTTCTTGCCTCCTTGTCCATCAGAAACTTTGGTCCATTCATCCTCTGAAGAACCACCATGCTTATCCTTTTCCTTTTCGTCGTATTTGTGCTCCTCCCTGGACTTGTGCTGTTGAGAAGAGTATTCCTCTCCTTTCTTCACCTCTTTCTTCTCCTGCGTTTCCTCCTTCTTTACTTCTTTCGTCTCCTTCTCCTCTTTCTTTGTTTCTGTATGGGTCCTTTCCTCCATACTCTCATATGACCTCTGCTTCTTGCCACTCAAGCTTTCTTGTTGTTTCCATCGTAAGGTGAACATCGACTCATCCTCATCCTCACTATCGTCCTCCGAGTCATGACGCTTCCTTCCCCCCGTTGTCGTCATCCTTCTGACATACCTTTTGTTCCCGTACCCATCTGAAACTTTTGTCCATTCACTCTCCGAATTTGACGGCTCTGTGATCTGAAACACAACCAATTGGCAAGAACGAACAGAACAGTGAGTTTCAAACAATGGATTCTTCCCAAGCTATTCTTTTTTCTTTTTCTCCAAACAAGAGGCAGAGCCCTTAACCTTACTATATTATCCATCTGTTTCGAACTGGAGCGGAACTCATGACCTGTTGTTTATCTGTTAAGATTGCGCACCAATCATTTACATGGAGTGGCTCAACTAAGATTGCGCACCAATCATTTACATGGAGTGGCTCAACGAGTAACATGATACTCTGCAGGCATCCCTTGAATAGGCAGCAAACGTCAGTGCAGGGGAGGGGGGCAGGGGGGGTAACGGATTTGGGGGTCTACCTTATGACGGATTCTGGCTGGGGGCTTGTTTTACTCAGGTATGATAAAGTAGTCTCATGGGTTAAGGGCTTCATCCCTAGACATTGCATCTGACTGGCACATTTGCAAAAATTATACAGACTACAGACGTGAATGGACCACAAGAGTTCAAAGAACACAGTTGCGCTAGGCCGTGCTTATCCTGGGCTGGGTCTGCATGGCCAGCACTGGTGCTTGTGACTCCTGTCCGTCCGTGTCGGTTGCATGAGCAGGGGGGGGGAGAGGAGGAGGTACGTATCGGAGGGATGGGCAACATGTGCAGAAAAAAGAAAGGTGCTTTCCCTGATTTTTTAGTTTAATAATCAATGGGACTCAGATGAGTAGTATGCGGCAAATCAAACCGCTGAACATTATCAAATGAGTAGTATGCGGCAAATCAAACCGCTAAACACAAACAGTTTCTTTACCTGTGCATGCATGTCCTGCCTCTGTACCGACAGGCCTCGCTCATTTGGTACAACGTAACTGTTGCAATGCAGAGCATAATTCGAATCCAGGTCAAACGAGATAAATGAATCCAGCTGTCTAGGTCAGTTTGTTAGGCACGCTAGGGGCATTAACGAGGTTCTGGGTTCGAGCCACATGACCACCTGTGGCGCACTTTGTGGGTTGGAGCGGCAAGACCACCTCTGGTGCACTTGGTGCCAACAAGCTGTCATAGTCCGTTTGATTCTTGTGTTTGCCCAAATGGCTGTGACTCCTGTGAGTGTGAGTGTGAGTGGGTTGTCTGTGGTGTGTGGAAGGGTGTTGGCCTTAGAGACTGCTGCTATTCGGTGGGCGGTGGTCCGGTGGAGGAGGCGAAGCTACTCAGTGGTAAAATGCTTGGTCTTTGTGTTAGCCCTACCCCACTGGCGACCCCACCCCATGTCTGAAGACCGGTGATGGGGGTGGGGGGCAACATGAAATTACCTCGTTTGCAAGGCCCTATGCTTGCAGGGGTCCCCTCTATGTATATACACTCAGGCCTGTCTCTTATACACATCTAGATGTGTATAAGAGACAGGAGTTTGTATTTTGATTACACAATCACGTACTCAAAATTTGCTTGCGTCATGTGAATCGATTGTTCTGACCCGTCTGGGTGCCGACTCCCTGCATCCCCATCGTNGGGGGGGGGGGGGGGGGGGCAGGCCGCAGGGGCTCAACATGATCCCTCTAAGCTTGAGAGAAACATATGCTTGCAGGGGTCCCCTCTATACAAACTTAGGAGTAGTGGCAGGTTGGTAGTGAAAGCTGAAGAGAATTTGAGAGAAAAATATACTGTAACTTGAGGAAACAAAAAGAGAGAATCGATATAGAACAATAGTGCTACGATATTTTATATAGAACAATAGTACTACGATAAATGACACAGAAGAGCCCAGAGTGCCTTGACAGCGGAATTGTTGTGCTCCATCCTGAGCATGGCAACATCGGCCAGGCTCAGGGAGGAAGACACAGTCACCCATAGCAATACAGGAGAAAAAGAAAAGGTTTCACCCAGTCCGCAGGGCCACACATGGACTGAGCAACAACTTCTTACAAAAGCTCCAACTAACTACGAGGAGATGGCACCCAGCAAAAATTCTGACGGAACCCAAAACAGGTCATCGACAGGGTATAAGTCCAAGGCAGAACAATGGTACTCTTGTTACATACAGCCCACTGGAAAGCCTATTGGGTCCGGAGTGCCCAGTCCGACCTGAGGGCCCCAACTCTGTCGGTTTGTATATAAAACTTCTCTTCAGAAAGTAGAAAATACATAAAACTATTCTGTCAATCATTGCTAAAGTCTTCTCCTGAAAATGCCCGTGAGCTGTTTGTAGTACTTTGTACCCAACCAACAAACATTGGGTGTGATAAACCTAATAGGTTTGCCCGTGGGCCATATCTATCAAATATCCCTAGAGCAATTCTAAATTAGCTGGTTCAACGATGATACCTCGAGGCATCTAAGTCTCTCGGTATGCGGACTGAGATCTCTATTTCAGCAGCTCATTGGTGTACCAACTGAACTGGGTGGAAAGTGCAACAGACTCCACATATCATTATCATTGCCGCGCTGACCAGTTCAAGGAGATTCGAACATGAGTCCGTTCATCAACAATTCGTGAGCGCAGCTTTAAGCCATATGGGATGATCACTCACCAGCAGTTCTCACATTGGTCCAAATAGCCATGGTTAATCATATTCGGGATAATCATCGTGCGTGCAATTCTGTCCACATTCTCGCACTGGTTCAAATACCCAGGTTCCCCAACGATTTCCTCCACCAGACTGTCTAGTAACACCCCTCCTACCGGGATCCCTTAAGACAATCCCCTACTGTAGGTTCCCCACCGATATCCTCCAGCAGAGCTTGTCCCAAGCCAACCCTCCCCCCAAACGGGACCCCATCCCACCTAAGGTCCTTGGCCCCCCAAAGCAGAGCCTAAGGTACCCAACACACATGAGAAGTCTAACCACAAACCCCTATCTGCATCCCCATTAGACTGCAAACTGTATCAGGCAAACCCGTCATACGCCAGGACCCGACATACAACAGCATGGACAACCCTTGGGCGGTGCACAGGCAGTGTCTGTAATAGCTTACCATGCTTCAGCCCAATGGGTGTGACCCATATCTGCGTCCCCATTAGAGACTGCGAACTGTCTCAGGCAACAGGCAGTGTTTGTAATAGCTTACCATGGTCAGCCCAACGGGTGTGTGTCCAGCCGTGCGTCATTCTAACGCAGGTGTCCATGCGTGAGGCTGCGGATTTGAACCCGCAATCTCATAGTGTCCATGCGTGAGGCTGCGGATTTGAACCCGCAACCTCATAGTGTCCAAGCGTGAGGCTGCGGATTTGAACCCGCAACCTCATAGTGTCCAGGCGTGAGGCTGCGGATTTGAACCCGCAACCTCATAGTGTCCATGCGTGAGGCTGCGGATTTGAACCCGCAACCTCACCACAATGCGCATTTCCAACCGGTGCTCTAACCACTCAGCTACATCAACTGGACTACCTACCACTACTCCTAATTGTAGGCATACGGGGAACCCCGTAGCAGCCAGATTCGCCGCCGGGAGGTCTTAGAACTTGCTGAGGGAAATGAATACAAAGGTTTCGTCGCCGCGAGGTCTTATAACTTTGCCATTGCACCGAGTTTGGCCAAGGAAACTTCTAAACATCAAACTCTCAGTGCCCCGCACAGGATTGAAGTAAAGAAGGCGTACCTTCATCGTTTTGGTGGATTCCTTCACGTACGACTCCTTTCCTCTGTGCTTCTGGTCGCCGGTCGCAATGTATTTGTGGTCCGTCTCCTTGTTCTGGCCCTTCGCCTCCTTGTATCCACCACCTATGAACTCCTTGCGATACTCCTCCGATTCCTTGTATTCGACGATCTTCGTCTCAGAGGACTCGTGGTCCTTCACCTCGTTCGACTCCCTGTGCTCCTTATACTCAATCTCCTTGTGCACCGTCTTGTGTTCCTCCTCGTGTACATCCTTCTTCACCTCCTTCTGCTCATCCCTCTTGACCTCCTTGTGCTCCTTTTCTGCCACCATGTTTTCCTGCTTCTTGTGCTCCTTGTATTCCTCCCTCGACTCCTTGCTCTCTTTGTATTCGTGCTCCGACTCGTTTGTCTCGTCCTTATTTCTCTGCTGCACGTCCTTGTGGACCGAGTAGGACCCTTCATCGACCGTCATTCCCGTACCCTCGTAGTCCTCCGTTACCTCTCCGGTGCAGACTTCCATGTGTTCCTGCTTCTTGTGCTCCTTGTATTCCTCCCTCGACTCCTTGCTCTGTTTGTATTCGTGCTCCGATTGGTGTGTCTCGTCCTTACTTCTCTTTTGCACGTCCTTGTGCACCGAGTAGGAGCCTTCATCGACCGCCTTTCCCTTACCCTCGTAGTCCTCCGTGACGTCTCCGGTGCAGACATAATGCACCCCTTCTTCTCTAACCTTGGTGTCAGATCGTTGGGCACCGGTCGCCTTCTTGCTGCTCTCCACCGGCATTTTCCCCGTCACCGTGTGCTCGACTTTGGAAGCAGACGAGGACGACGACTTGTTCACCGAGCCAGTCGAATTTTTGTCGTCTGTCACAGCCGTCTTCTTCGTCATGTGCTCGTAGGAGCTATCGTGGTCGCTGTCGCTCTCGTCGATAAACGGCTTCTTCGACTTGCTTGTCTTCCCGATTTGGTACGTCCTCTGCTTACTGTAACGCGAGCCACCACCGTCACTCTCGTCACTATCAGATTGATTGGCAGAAGGACCCTTCTTGCTATTCTCGACCATCGTTTTTCCCGTCACCGTGTGCTCGACCTTGGAGGTAGACGAGGACGACAACTTCTTCAGCGACTCGCTCGACTTTCTGTCGTCTGTCACAGCCGTCTTCTTGGTCATGTGCTCGAAGGAACTATCGTGGTCGCTGTCGCTCTCGTCGATAACCTGCTTCTTCGAGTTGCTGCTCTTGCCGGTTTTGTACGTTGTATCCTTACTGTATCGCGAGCCACCACGGTCACACTCTTCACTGTCAGAGTGCTTCGCACCCTTCTTCGTGCTGCGGACGGTAGTTTTCCACGTCACCACCGTGTGCTCGACCTTGAAAGTAGACGAGGAGGAGGACTTCTTCAGCGAGTCACTTGACTTTTTGTCGTCTGCTGCAGTCGTCTTCTTCGTCACGCGCGCGCACGAACGATCGCGGTCGCTGTCACTCTCTTCAACAAACTGCTTCTTCGACTTGCTGATCTTGCCGATGTTGCACGTCCTTTCCTTCCAGTATGGCGAGCCACCACGATCACTCTCTTCCCTGTCATCCACGATGCTCTCGGTGCCGCTATCCGTCGTCAACTGTACTGTCCTGCTGTCCACCTTTACATTGGTCGTTTCCACCGTAGTCTTCTTCACACGAGCGCCCTCACTGTCATCCGAGACTTCACCGAAACTCTTCTTCTCCGTCCTGTTTTCATCTCCCTCGATCACAGTTTCTCGATGCCGTCTCTCCTCAGTTCGTTTCGCGGAACTGCCATCGACCTTGTAATAGTGGTCGCTACTGCTGTCGGAGTCGCACGAGAAAGAAAACTTCTTTCTACGCACCTTCGCCTCATGACGATGCGATTGACGTCGACGACGCCTGTCGTCGCCGTCGCAGCTATCATCGATGTTGGTGCTGTCGCGATGATGGCGATGTGCCATCATCTTTGACTTCCTTATCTTCTGCACATGAGTATCCAAGGAGTCAGACGAGGACGACCTCGATGTGAAAGAAGAGTGCAGCCGATGTTCAACGACGCGATGCCCACTGTGCTGATCCTCACGGAGACGATGCTTGTCGACAACCGCCGCTTCCTTCTTGCTCTGCTCCTTCTTCAATTTGTCTTGCGTACGCAGGCGCCATTCCTCATCCTCAGAGTCGTCGGAAGACGTCGAAGACGACGAGGAAGTCGAGCTCGAGGGAGAAGACGGGATCGATAGCTTTTCCGTGGAGGTGCGCCTACCGCTGCGGCCAGCGGCCGATACCTTGAACGCTTCGGCAATCAATCCCGACAGAGCTGTGCATGGCACGAACGACTCCATTTTCGACAGAAGGCTTCTCACGTACCGCTCGCACTTAAGACGAGCGAGATCGAAGATGCGGACGGCGAGAAGCAAACGTGCTCGAGGCCCCGTTCCGACACTCGGACCTTCCTCCACTACTCTCGCCAGCGTGTCCCACTGTCTACTGTTTGAAAACAGACGCAGTCTGGCGAAAGCCCACACCTTCTGCTCCATGAAATCTCTAGCGAGCAGGGAACCTGAGTCCCACGCTCCTGCTGCAGACACGCAACGGTGGAAATCCCACGATGATTGACATCCTTTGACGGAAGCCATCAAGGGATGCACGTACACGTGCGCATCGAAAACGACAGCGGGTTCGAACTCCCAGTTGCCGAGTTGCTTAAACTTCTCGTTGAACCAGGCAGGGGCAATTTCCGCGTCCTTGCCGGTGATAAATACGATGATGCTCTTTCCCGCAGAACACCATTCTATACCGCCATCGACGGCGAAGTGCTCGTTGTCGAGCTGAAGATCGACGGTGGAGCTGAACAAAACCACTTGATACTCCAGCTGGAGAAGCTTGAGAAGCTGCCGGAGTTGCCGCCGACGGAACATTTCCAACTTCTGGAGAATGGCTCTTCCTGCGCGACTGATATGACGGCTCTTGATGGAGACGGTACCGGACAAGGCTTCGCTCCCACCCTGGGTGCCCTTGAGAAGCAGCTTCTCTCTGACCATTTCCCACCGTTGATTGAAAGCCCATTTCAGAATCATTTCCGGCACATGCCAGTGGTCGCCGATGGCTTCGGCTTCTCCTTTGCGGAGAGAGAGAACGGTCTCCAAGACGTAGTGTTCGCCCTCGGCTCTGGCTTCATGCAGCTTAACAACGAGCTTTTCATAAGCCTTTGTCGATCCTGCCCTGTCGCCGATGACACTCTCCTTCCTGACATCCGCGCACTTCACGACCTCCCAACCCCACAAGGCTTCCGTTACCCCACCGCAACCTTTGCCAGTCAAGGCGTCGACGGACCTTGATCGCAAATACTCGCCGATTTTCAAGCCCATTGGCCCGAGGGCTCTGTAAATCTCGCAGAGAATCTGGTTCTGCCTCTCCCTGGGACACTTGGTTCGCCCGCGAAGGAGCAATTTGCCAAGCTGGAACATACACTCCCCTCCAAGCATTTTCAGCCCGTTCAATACGCTCCATTCTTCCTCCGAGATGTCCTTCCCCCTCTTCAGCCCACCGATCAATTGGGTCGCCACCAGTATACTGCCTTGCCCCGCAAGTTCCTCCAGTGATTGCATCAACGACCTGAGCCGTTGCGGGTGGCGCTGCGTCCTGGCTTCTTCGACCAATGAAAGACCTACCTCCATGGCTAGAGCACCTCCCAGAACCTCCAACTTCCCAATCAAATGCATCTCCCAAATTGCTTGATCTGTCCACCTGCAGTACGATTCGCTTCTCTCTTTCCCCTTCACATGTTTCCCGCCAGCCGGAGCTGCGCGCCAGCCGACAGTCCACCAAAAGTAATCGATCATCGTGTCGGCAACCTTGAGGCCGACTGGTCCGGCTTCCTGTATCATCTCAGCAACCACCTTCCTCTCCAATTCTCCCAATCTCCTCCATGATCCTTTCACGCTAACCTCTATCTCGCACCTCTTGTTGGCCAGCAACTTCAACAGTCTTTGTCCCGCCTTCACGGCCTTCGTCCCCCCCGACACGTATAGTTCATTCAGTAGCCCGTGCTGCTTCCACCTGCACACTGCCTTTTTCGCTAGGTGACTCTGACGACCTGCTGCACAAGCGCCCGACCGTTTCTGACACAAAGCCAAAGCATTGCTATCCTGACGATTGCCGCCGGCTACCAGACTGCCTGTTTGCTTCATTGCCCACAAGGCATAGCATAAGCCGATGACATCTTCCGACACTTTCCCAGGAGCAAGCCCCGCAACGGCGTTGTGCAGCGGACCCTTCCTCCCCTCCAATATCTGGTGCAACATTTCACTCCCGCCTTCCTCCGATCCTGCGAGCGGCAGCGCACCTTAATACATCCGGCAGGTTAACCACCGCAACAGGCGACGACAGCCAATCGTGCAATAACAACCCAAAGGAATAAATGGAAATCGGACATACCTTGCGCCAACTAGACGTTTCTTCTGCCTCTCCTGCCTCGATGCTCTCGACGCTACCTACCCGGCCAGCCACAGACGCGATTTCCACGCATCATTCATTGATTACACTAGCGTACGGAGAATATTTCCTTCCTTCTTTGCCCCATTACGTAATCGAGTCCTCGCAAACACGGGTCATAACGCATTCTAAATTCGTCGGTAGGCATAAGGTTCACAGAGGTAGCAAGAGAACAACAACGAATCGACAGTCAGTCAGCCATTTGCAAATCCATAGAAAAGGACTCTAACCAGACTTGCCTCACAAAGTAGGAGGATAGGGATGAAAAAACACCATGGCATAGCATGCAGTCGGCTTTGAGGATGCGTAGTTCCTGGAGAGCCGACATATTGCATGGAAAAACGCAAAAAAAATCACATCAAAAATCCGAAGCGCCAAGAGGCGAAGAGTGGGGCCGCAGACACGCCGGCATGTTCTTGAAAGCGTAACGCTGTGCTGCAATGCCTGGCAAACAACACTAGCAATGTAGATATCAAAGGGGATCGCTCCGCCGCACTGGCAGTACAGACATCATACCAGTCTGCGGCAGCGATGATAAGTAGCCCGACAGAAGGCTCTATTGCGCCTCTTTGCGCGACAACCACGGAGGAAGGATCCCAGCCATTCGCGCTCCCCTATGTCACGGTCCGAGCACAATTATTCGATATTGCTGTTTTTTTTCTGGTTTTCAAATCACTCCCGGAAGGAAGCGAATTAAAAGTACTCCCGCATACTCCCTCGTTGGAGGCTTGAGCACGGATGTGGCTGCTACGGGGTTCCCCGTAATACTATTGAGTAAATGGCCTCAAAGGCCATCCTGTTTGGATTCGACAGGTAATTGAATTGGTTGGGCTTCAAAGAATTAGCTTTTTTTTTTTTTTTAATAAAAAAGTGCCCCATTTTAAATTGCCACACACACGAGGAAAGATGTGATCACACGTGCCAGGCCCAGACCCCCCAAAGGGCCTTTAATAGAATGAAAAATAAAATAAAACGAAGACCCCAAACGGCCTTCAATAGGCTGAAAAAAAAACAGAAAAAAAAGACATGTGATGAAGAAACATCGTATTGCACCGTCTTCGAACTCGATCGAACGCCGGTCCAAGCCAGCCTTCATAACCCATCAGCCACATTACATTCCCCTCTACTGACGAGGCTACATGACTCGTTAACCCTGCCGAGGACTACGAAAATTTCCGGTCGGTGGATAGAATTGCACGTGCGATGATTAGGTGAACCTGCGGAAGGATTATAAAAAAAAAAAAAAAATTGCACGCGCGACTGCCTACAAGAGTGGCCCAGGAGGGAGATCCCACTACCGATGTATGTGGAGTAGCGGATAGGGCGTGAGGGAGATCCCACTACCGATGTCTGTGGAGTAGCGGATAGGGCGTGTGACCCTTCGGCGCCCTTGATGAGAACGGTGATCAGTGGTGTTGTTTTTCTTGGTTTTCGGTGTGGGGAAACATATGACTTTCGGGGGGCTCCCATTGGGTGGCATTTCTTTTGCTTTTGTTGTGGTGCTCCTCTGGGGGTCAAGAACGTGCGTGAAAATCATACCAACTTTTTTTGGTTGGATTTTCACACACCTTCCACTTACATGTGCTTCGTTGCCCATGCGTTCAAAAGAGGCAGAAAATGAAAATGTTCCCCTTTTCTCATCATGAAGGGATGTCAGTTGATGTCATAGTCTTCCACAACTTGTCTGTCATTCCAAGCCTCTGGTTGGGGAACGTTAACAAATGTGTGTTGGCCTCATGTACATGGTCCATGAACCGTCCACATGCACAACATACCAGGGAAATCATCAGAAGATCCACAATCTAACAGCTGACCGCAGCTCGCGGAGGGTGGACAACATTGCGGCATTTTGTTTTTTTCAACATTTATGGCGGAGTAAAGGATGCCACACAGATGTCCCCGGCACGTCCTGCAACCGTCACACTACTCCACATACATCGTTAGTGGGATCTCCCTCCAGGGTCACTTGCCCAGCCAGGCCAAAAACATTAAAAAAATAAAAATAAAAGAGAAAACTAGGGCGCTGTCAGTGTTACAGTTTGAAAATACATTTCAAACTGCCGTTTTGGAGTCCAGTCGCCTCTCAAGTTTACACTGCAGTCCAAACTCCCCCGTAGCGTGGCTGTCGCAGGGCAGAGTTTGTAACTACAGTCTAGTCATCCACGTCGGAGGGGCAGGCCGTTTCCAAAAAAAAAAAAAAGAAACCGTTTCCAAAAAAAAAAAAAAGAAACAAGAAGAAAAAAGAAAACATCGTGGCGGTGTATCTTTCCATGTTTCAGGGAAGATTCACTCTCAGTTTCCAGGAAATGTGCAAAACGAGAATGAATCTTCTCTAGAACCTGGAAATATACAGGGCCATGATTTTTGTGTTTTGAGCAACGGAGATACAGGGGCCCAACGAAATACACGGGCTGACAACGAAGCAGAGGCCCTCCCGGATACACGTGCTGACAACGACCCAGTTTCTTTTCTTTTTTTTTTCCTCTTCTATTTTTCCTGCCCAGAGTTCCCGACTTATGCCTGTCATCCTTGGGGCCTCGTGGCGGTGCATCCTTCCATGTTCTAGCGGAAGATTCACTCTCGTTTTGAACATTTCGAGAGTAGTGGAATGTGCAAAACGAGAGTGAATCTTCCGCTAGAACATGGAAAGATACAGCGCCCTGATTTTTGGCTTTTGTGCAAGTCTCCTCTTTTCTCTTTTTCTTTTTTTCTTTTTTTTCTTTTTCTTTTTTTTTTTGTTGTT